GATTAGCTTGGGTTGCCATGACATACTGCTAGGTGTCACTCATGGTTTGTGGAATCCCTGGTAATCTTCATCAAAGGGAGAATTGAAATGTTTTTTCAATTCACAATCGATCATTAAAAGTAACAATCGCCCACTACCTCACTAAAAGGAACCTAATGGATCGTACACCATGTACGGTAGAGATTAAAGAAACAACGGAGTTGAGTAAGAACAATTAAATGGTTTAATTGTTTATGGCTAAGATTAATTAATATGTTAATTAATCAAACGAATAAGTTCGTTTTAGACGTCGGGTTAGTTTTGGGCCTCAAGGCCCAATAGGCTTCAAATGTCAAGCTCATTGACTTAAGTTGTATGACAACTTAATGAATAAAGATTCAAGAGCTGGCCATATTGATGAAATAGGGTTTTGGTTCTTTTTGTCACTTAAGTGAAGTGACTATATAAAGAACTTTATAGCCAAAATTCATTTAAGGTTCTTTTAGAGGAAATTGGATAGAACAAGTCTCTCCCTTTCTCTCTAGGAGGCCGGCCCCTTGGAGGAGATTAGCTAGCAATCTTCCCTCCTCCAAGGTTACTCATCTCTTCTTCTAGTCTCTCCTTGGTGTGGAGACTTAGAGGTTCTCTATTTTGGGAACTTGGAGAATCCATTCTACCATCCTCATCCAAGAAATCCATGGAGCTAAGAAGTAAGGAATGAAGGCCCTATCTCTTGGGTGATTAGTCTTTGCTTATGCAAAGAGGAATCAATAATGGTATAATATTTCTCAAATCACTTTGTTCTTGAATTGAGTCTTGGTTCACCACACTCACTAGGCCTTGAATTTCATGGGTAAAGTTTTGTTTTTGAGTGCATACAAGCATGATTCCGCCTTTAATTGTTAATTGCATGTTGTAGATGTTGCTCAAATGAACTTGTATTCATAAATATTTCCTTTTTCTAATCGCCCACTGCCTCGCTAAAAGGAACCTAATGGATCGTACACCGAGTAAGGTAGAGATTGAAGAAACAATGGAGATGAGCAAGGATAATTAAATGGATTATACACCGACTAAGTTCGTTATATACCTCGGGTTAGTTTTGGGCCGCAAGGTCCAATGGGATTTGAATGTCAAGTCCAATAACTCAAGTTATATGACAACTTGAAACACAAAGGGCCTCAAAGCCCAAAGAACCCAATATGGCCGGCCATAAGAGTGAGGGGTAGTGAACTTGGCTTAATTGCAAGTTTGCCACTCCATTGTGAGGTGGTATAAAGGCAACTTTATAGCCATTTCATCCTAAGGGTTTTTTCTTTGGAGAAAAGATGAGAACAAATGCTCTCTTGACTCTCTAAGAGGCCGGCCACCCTAGAGGAACATATATAGCAATCTTCCTTCCTCTTGGTCACTCATCTCTTCATCAATGCCTCCTTGGTGTGGAGACTTAAAGGTTCTCTATTGGGAACTTGGAGAATCCATTCATCCATCCTCCTCCAAGAAATCCATGGAGCTAAGAAGGAATGAAGGCCCTCTCTCTTGGGTAGTTAGCCTTTGCTTATGCATAGAGGAATCAACAAAGGTATAATATTTCTCAACTCACTTTGTTCTTGAGTTGAGTCTTGGTTCACCATAACTACTAGGCTTTGAATTTCATGGGTTAAGTTTTGTTTTTGAGTGCATACAAGCATGATTCCGCCTTTTAATTGTTAATAGCATGCATAGATGTTGCTCGAATGAACTAGTTTTCACAAATATTTCCTTCAATGTCATCTTGTCCAACATGGCATAGATGTGAGCAAGGATGAAGGGACATGTTGCCACATCATTGTATGCATGAAGAGTCTTCACTAACCCACTCCAGTTTCATCCCTTTAGAAGGGTTAGGAAAATGAATTTGTTGAGCCAGTACAACAAAAAGTACTTATGGTCTTGATCCCTATCAGGAGAAGTTGAAGAGGGACCATAACTGCTCCTAAATTATCTCAAAAAGACCAAATAAGAGGTGGTGTAAGCTTTGAACTCTACCGCATTATGTTTGAGCTTCCTTGGGGGCAAGGTGGCTTCATCTTCCCCTTCATTTTTCTTGTTCAAATCCTAGAAAGCTGCCCAATCATTGGAAGCGACCATACTATAACCCGAGGGCCTGAGATCGAACAACTACACCATGTCTAAAATAGTGGGATAGATGAGCCACATCCTAAAGTTAAAAGTATTGGTGCTATTATCCCAAAAAAACTAAAGCACCACACTGAGAAGTTTGGGCTTCAGGGTCACTGCATGCTTCAACATCATGATCAAGTCATAGATAACATTTGAGCACCACTTAGCTCCATAATCAGTTCTAGGATATTTATCCAATTTTTCCAATCTTGCTTAGAGGCGATAGGGAAACCTTTGGTGGCCTAACTCCACTCAGTCAGACAAATTCCCTACAAGGCAGAGTAGGGATTAGGTGTGACCCATGTCGTTGAGTGCAGGTTGTTTTCCACCATGTCTGGGACTTCTTGGACCCATGCAAGTCCTGAGGAAAAAGCTTCGTCATGTTGGAAGTAGGTGGAAAACTCCAAACCAGGTTAAGGTTGGTGGAGCAAACCATCTCATGTATAACACTAGTCAGTCCTTCACTAGACTTAGGACAAGGAATTCCCTACCAAGACATAGTGGAAATAAATTGAAAGTTGGAAACCTTAGAAAATTAGAAAGAAAAGTTGCAGAAAGCTTGGAGTTCCTTGAAAGCTAAGTTTCTCTGGCAATCAAGTCAAAGGTTGAAGTTAAAAAGGAAAGTGTTCTGAACTTGTCTCCTTTAAATATGACGGTTAAGAGTTTCGTTAGACTTCATGATTAGTGGAAGAGTTTTGCTCACAACAGTTACTTAGTGGCGCTAAACTCAGTTCGGACAAAGAAGGTGAAAGCTTTAAATATGCTCAAAGCTGAAGTTAATGGCTTAATTATGTTTAAAGGGGCACTGTTTGGACTAAAAATATACTGTTTGGTCTGCCCAAGGCACAAAATGTAGAAATTTGTCTGAAAGCTTAAAGGGCATTTAATTTGTGTAGCAAATGAACATTTTGTGGCCAAAATGAAAATTACTTTATGACGTGGCAATAGTGGGCAGCAAAAATCGTCGTTCACACAAAGGAAGGAGTGTTCAGTCGAGTTTTACAAAGGAAAAGCACTTTCTAGTGGCAAATTGTAGTTTGAGAGGATAAAAGCTCAAGTATCTAGGTAAAAACTCATCCTCATACAACAATAACATCGGCCACTTGGATCAGAGGGAATGAACTAAAAAGGAAAGGCTTGCTCTTGAAGTAAGAAGCAGTTCTATAAAAGGCATCATAAAGGAAGAAAAAAATGACACTCAACTCAACATACAAATAGACTTTAATGCTCTGCAAAATCTACTTTCTAAATTCCTTTTCTATTTCAAACACTCTTTATATTAATTGCTCTACTACTCTCTTTGTAGTATCAATTTCCTATATTTAAGAATCCCTTTCTCAAGCACACTCTGTGCTAGCAAGAATTTGCTCGTCTGGTGAGCAATCTTGCTCGAATAATTTTAATTCGTGTCCAAATGTCTGTATTTATTGCTTGTACATTTCAATGCAAGTACTTTCTATTTTGTTAAATAGATTTTGCATGTCTTTATGCTTCATCGCTTTTAATACTTTATATTCCAAGTCAAGTTTTTTTCCTTTTTTTGTATTTACATTTGCACGACGATTGCAAACTGACTCGACATGGTTCAACCAGTCCGTGGTCCTCTCTTGGTAAACAACACGATTAAAAAGTACTTGTCACCAAGGTATGATAAAGAACTTAACATAGATTTAACCCTTCTATGGCACAATCACTTGATAAAGAAGTCGAATCGCTTGTGGCATAAGCAAGTTATCCAAAACAAACGAATCAATTAATCAACTTGTTGGTAAGGCGAACAATGGCATGCCTAAAACATTACACGCTCATTTAAGATATCATCAAGGCCTATGAAGGCCCCTCAAAGGCCACCTTAAACTGACACTGTCTACCATGATTGCAAGGAGAACTATGACGCCAACAAAAACAATCAAGAAATTGCACTCCGGTGGAGTTTTTTTCTTTTTCTTTTTTTTTTGCTTGATGAAAAAATGGAGTTATTTTCATTGTCTATGTAAAGTCAAAAGAAATTTTGTGGAATCGTCGCATTTTAGAAATTCGTACGCAAGGTTTAGGCAGGCGCGGCTCCGGGATCATTCATACAGGGTGTTGCAACAGTGGTGGTGGTGATTCAAGGGGATCTCACGGCGAAGAGAATCACATCATTGTTGGTAGTGCACATGATCTTGATCAAAGGAATGTAAAGGCTATTGAAGTTTAGACAGCGTACGTACACCTACGCCTACGTGTAGCTGATTAAAATTAGTCAGGTAAACGTTAGAGTTTGTTATTTTGTTATAAGAGTTTTGACCTTAATTGACGTTTATTATTGAAATACCCATTGGAAATTACTCAATAATGAAAATCACACTTATTTCATTTCTCTTTTGGGAAATTTTGTTGTATCCTTTGAAAAAAAAAAAAAATTATTAATGAACGTGATGAAACTAACCAATATTGTTATTTACTTTTGAGTTAGTTTAAATAAACAATGTGATTCTCTGTATTATCTTATGTTTACCTTTTTTATAACTTTACCCATCATGATTGTTAATTATACATGGATTAATTACATTATAAAATCATGCTTCAAATATTAACGTGCATTATAAATACAACTCGGTGTCCTCTCTTAAATAGTAGTTGTTTCTTTAATCATACAATATACTTTCATGATAGTTAAAATCTCATAGTTACATGATTCTGTTTGGTATATATATATATATATATATATATATATGTACCCACACAATTACAATTATAGTACACTCCACTATAGAAATCAAAATAATTATTTTTCGATTACTTTAATCATTCGGCCAAAGCGCTTGTAAATAATTAGAGTGTAAAAGTGGAAAAATATGTAGAACGCTTCTGCATGTTGAAATATACGTATTAATTGCACGTATAGTATTTACTATAATATACAGAACGACATTGAAATGGAAAACAATAATACATTGAAGTCATTATCATATCAGTGATTCAGTAATTAGAGTCTGTGAAGCTGTTATTATCTACTGCTGAAGCACACCAAAACACAGAATTAAGATAAAACCAACCAGTCTTTCTCCTATACATCTGTAGGAAATCTCAGAAACCAATACGCATTACTGTACCTGGACAAACTAAAAACATTGTCATATTAAACAACCAAAAATATGAATTATCCTTTCGCAGTTCTATATATACATTGCCCGTCAACCAAATCTTCATGTTTCTGGTGAAGAAAATTAAAGAAAATACTAAAACAAAAATGAAACAAAAGGAAAAAAGAAAAAAAGAAAAAAAAACAGGCGATCACCTTGTCAAAAATTAAACTTGTGTAGCTATAGATATGTTGATCAGGGTGATCTCCAACTTCTTAAGCCGATACCATTGTGCTTCCTTGAGGGGCCAGAAGCCGGTATAGGTATCCTTCTCGGAAAGAAGCCCAAAAAGTGGCCAGAATTCTGCATGTACTTGGGTTTGAACCTGAAGACTTGGGCGGCGGTTGTGGGTGAGGCATGGCAATTTCCGTGAGGAATGAAGATGAACGTCACAAAAAGCCATACCGATACGAGTACAACTAGAGGCCGTCTACTTGAAGCCATGCTAAGTTTGCTTGTTCCAAATTAAGTAAACTAGATTGCTAGAATGGAGAGAGATCAGATGGTGAAAGATGGTTTGGTGAAGTTTGGTTTTGAGGCAATTGGTGACCAAAAGGTGGTGAGAGCAGGAAACATGGGCAATTCAATGCGCAATTGTGTGTGTAGGGGATTGTTAATTTGAAATATGTGGTGTGGAGAGAGAAAGAGGGAGAGAGAGATGAGAGCTAGAAATCAGATGCTTCTACAAGTAAAAGTAATGTTCGAAGGCAATAGAAAGTTGAAAAGCTTTGAGAAAGAAAAGAATGCCAGCTTGTTAATTTCAAAAAAATGGTCTTATTCAAGGGTTGGAGCCTGGATGTTCTTATTAAAAAGCTAAGAAAAAAGAAGTGGACCATGAAAAAGGTTATATATTAGCTTGCTCTCTTAATTTTTGTCAAATCAAACGCGAAGAAAAGATGGGAACACTTGACCAACTAAGGGAAAGGAAAGGATCGATGTGCTAAAGTTTCTGAGGTAAGGCCGGAATTCACCACTAATTATATTGACATTGTTTCTATTTAATTACACATGCAATTAATAGATGTGAAATTTTAATTAAAAAAACGCGTGGATGCATCTAATAATAAAATAATTTAATATAAATTATGATTTAATTTGGGAGATGATTGATGTGACATTTTTTATTTTATTTAGTAACAAACTTACGAGGGTTAAAAGAAAAGAACGAAAGTAAAGAAAAAAGGGAAGTTAGGGATTAAGTCATGGCTTCCATTAGAAAATGGTTAATTAGGTGGGAACCTGTTTTGGTCCTACCTCATCAGCAGCTAGTACTATGTGTTGTTTTCGTCTTTAGAGTTTAGAGAGACCCCCCATAACAGGAAATCTTGTCCCTTTGCCTCAGCACCTTTCTAGGCTTTATTTTGGTGCTATCTGTCTTTCCCTCCCTCAATATATCTTTCTTAATTTCTTGAATTTTGTACACGTATATATATATATATATATATGCGATGCGACTGTGATCGATCGAGTACAGCTTTGAGTCTTGGCCCATTCCCCTAATTAAGGGGACTGCAATAATTCTTCTCTACTACTATACGTCACTGTGCATTCTGCATCAACAGTAGGTTAAAAAAAACTTAATCTTTATAAATCTATATAGCTTTATGGGGTCGTGCATGGTCGTGTCTTTCTCGCACGGCATAGTGCCAGCAAAACTTCAAAACCACCACACCTAACGATCAAGACCAGTGGTTAGGTTACATTGGCATGCATGCTGAGTAATTATGAGTTAATTACGTTGTTTTTTGTGAATGTGGACGTGCCAACTTGCAACCGAGCTTGGTCAGGCGAGTAGAATAGATGCAGTAGTGGTATCGAATGCGTTGCTGACTTCTGCACTTGAGCGACTATGGCTAACAAAGGAACACCTCTTGTTGATGCACAAAACCGGAGGGGTCTTGGAACAAAGTAAATCCGACCGTGAATCTACAAGAAAGTAAAGAACACAAGATGTATCGTAATTCACCCCAATGTTTGGGCTACGTCCACACTGATATTGTATTTCTCTGTTTTGTGAGAGGATTGTGAGGGTGAGAGCTTTGGAATGTGAGAGTGAGTCCTCCTCATTGTGAGGGTGAGGAGTCCCTTTTATAGAATAAGGGCTCCTCACTTATTACATATTTGCCCATTCATTTATTACATAATTACATTTGAGTCCCCCGAGTATTTATACGAGGTCTAAATACGGAGGCCCTAAGTATGGTACAAACAGTAGTTCCCCAAGTCTTCAGTCAAGAGAGTCTTTTGGCTGGAGACTTAAAATTCAGTCCATGTGTGGGCCAAAGTAACTAGATGTCGTCTTGAACCGATACTCGATATGAGGCGGTGCTCAATCTGAAATGATGCTCAACTAAAAGTAGCACATGTTGCGAGGTTGCTCTACTTGTGGCTTATGTTGCCTTGGTTGGCTCGACTTGTGGCATTGAAGGTGAGGGAATCCCTTTTATAGAATAAGGGTTCGCTCCTCAATACATAAATGTTAGGCTAGAGTTGATGCTTGTGGCGAGACGGTTGCTCAGCAGGCGGCAATGCTCTCTAATGATGGTGAGGGAATTCCTTTTATAGAATAAAGGCTCGCTCCTTAATACATAAATGATGGGCTAGAGTTGATGATCGCGGCGAGGCGGTTGCTCAGCAGGCGGCGATGCTCTCTAATGATGGTGAGGGAGTCCCTTTTATAGAATAAGGGCTCGCTCCTCAATACATAAATGATGGGCTAAGAGTTTATGCTCGCGGCGAGGCGGTTGCTCAGCAAGCGGCGATGCTCTCTAATGATAGTGAGGGAGTCCCATTTATAGAATAAGGGGCTCGCTCCTCAATACATAAGTGATGGGCTAAGAGTTGATGCTCGCGGCGAGGCGATTGCTCAACAGGCGGCAATGCTCTCTAATGATGGTGAGGGAGTCCCTTTTATAAAATAAGGGCTCGCTCCTTAATACATAAATGATGGGCTAAAGTTGATGCTCGCGGCGAGGCGGTTGCTCAGCAGGCGGCGATGCTCTCTAATGATGGTAAGGGAGTCCCTTTTATAGAATAAGGGCTCGCTCCTCAATACATAAGTGATGGGCTAAGAGTTGATGCTCGCGGAGAAGCGGTTGCTCAACAGGCGGCAATGCTCTCTAATGATAGTGAGGGAGTCCCTTTTATAGAATAAGGGGCTCGCTCCTCAATACATAAGTGATGGGCTAAGAGTTGATGCTCGCGGCGAGGCGGTTGCTCAGCAGGCGGCGATGCTTTATAATGAAGGTGATGGAGTCCCTTTTATAAAATAAGGGCTCGTTCCTTAGTACATGAACAATGAGTGCTCTCTAATGAAAGTGAGGGAGTCCCTTTTATAGAATAAGGGTTCATTCCTCAGTACATAAATAATGGGCTAGAGTCCCCCAAGTATTTTTCATGAGGCCCAGTTGTGAAAGCCCAATATATGGTACATAGTGTAGTCCCCCAAGTCTTCAGTCAATAGAGGCTGTTGGCTGGAGACTTCAACTTTAATCCATGTATGGGCCGAAGTGGCGGTTGTTCGGAGACGGTCTTTGTATACCATGCACTGAAGCTTTGTAGGTGAAACTTTTAAAGTGAAGCTTTGAAGCTGGAGCTCTATAAATGAAGCTTTCAAAGCTGCTTCGAAGCTGGAGCTCTGTAAATGAAGCTTTCGAAGCTGATTGACATGAGTGATGCTCATGAATCTTTATGTCGATTGACATGAGTGATGCTCATGGATGTTGACATGAGTGATGCTTATGAATGTTGACATGAGTGATGCTCATGAATATTGACATGAATGATGTTCATGAATGTTTATGTATGATTGACATGAGTGATGCTCATGAATATTGACATGAATGATGTTCATGAATGTTTATGTATGATTGACATGAGTGATGCTCATGAATGTATGATTGACATGAGTGATGCTCATGTATAATTTTGGAGTACTGGACGTACTTTTAATCATCTGGTTGGTGATAATAGCAGCAGGCTGCCGGATAATTTTAGAGTACTGGGCGTACTTTTGATCACCTGGTTGGTGATAATAACGACAGGCTGCCGAATTATTTTGGAGTACTAGGCGTACTTTTGATCACCTAGTTGGTGATAATAGCGGCTGGGTGCTGAATAAATTTGGAGTACTGGACGTACTTTTGATCACATAGTTGGTGATAATAGTGGCAGGGTGCCGAATGAACTTGAAGCCATAGGGCCTGGCTCTTTTGGGCATATGGGCCTTGCCCCCCCCCCCCCACATAACATTCCAGCCCATTATTTTGGGCTTGCCGGTTTTTTTTTTTTTTTTTACCCTCTGATGGGGTTATACATATTTCTCCGAAAGATAAGAAAAATAAATTACATCATTCAAAAATAAATCCAACCCTCGCTCAATGGGTCACGCCCATAATTCTCTTTTCTGCATGCCATCACCACCGCAATTATCTCTGCTTCTTTTTTATCCTCTTTTTCTTTCTGCTTTTGCTTTTTGCTTTTACTTTCTGCTTTCTGCTTTTGTTTCCCACTCCATTTCCAGACATCCTTTTGCTTTTTCTTTTCTCTTTTTATTCCTTGCTTTTGCTTTTGTTTCTCGCAGCTCACTTGATTGCTTTTGCCTTTCATCTGCACCTTTGTTGCTTTTGTTTTTGTTTCCCATGTGTTATCGCAGAGCAAAATCTCGTAAATGTAAAATCTTTCCCTTTACACCCTGATACATCCTGATGTCGTCGTGAAATTGAAGGAGATTGCAGATCGTATGATTCCGTCCGGCTACGAAAATGAGTGTGTGCAAGTGTATAACAGCGTCAAACGCGATGCTTTGGACGAGTGTTTGGTGATTCTAGGCGTCGAAAAGCTGAGCATTGAGGAAGTGCAGAAGATTGAGTGCAAGAGCAGATCCACCTGACTCTTTGTAGAGTTTACCGACTTGGGAAATCTCAACGCTGCTTGCCGGTGTGAAATAACATCATCACTGGCAGAACTGACCAAGCAGGAGTAAAGCCTCTTGGGCTCATAGTCCCGGTCTAGAAAGCTTACTGGTTACCGCCTGGTTTGCATTCCTTAGAGGGAAACGGAATAGAGTTCCTGCAAATGGTGTTTTCATGTCGCAACCAAAAGCACAGTAAGGCAAGAATTGATCTTTGTACGTAGACTGGTTTCTGCAGATCCACCTGACTCTCTGTAGAGTTTACCGACTTGGGAAATCTCACGCTGCTTGCCGGTGCGAAACAACGTCATCATTGGCAGAACTGACCGAGCAGGAGTAGCTTTCTAGGCTCACAGTCCCGGTCTTCCCATACATACATTTCAACATGCATGATGGTTGCCACCTGGTTTGCCGTGCCCTTCTCGATCAACGCTTCGTGGACGAGCTTGGCGTCGTTCAGGATGATCATGGTTCGGGTACCCATTTTAAGAGCTATGTAATACTCGGGGGACTCAAATGTAATTACATATTTGCCCATTCATTTATTACATAATTACATTTGAGTCCCCCGAGTATTTATACAAGGTATAAATACGGAGGCCCTAAGTATGGTACAAACACCTCTCAACCTAGGGTTCTAGAACCTTAAGACGAGGTTACCTAATTCACTGTGAAGTTCAAGATCTCCTCCACTAGGTTCAACTGGCTTAACTATATTTATAAAAATATAGGTGCACCGAATCGGGATCAGGTTGTAAGGGCATAGGTATTCAAAGGAGATGAGCGTTTTTACGGTGAACATGGTTCGGCCCCATCTAAATGCCGAACTACAAAATGCACATGAAAGTAGTCAATTATAGAACACTTCACTTCATAAGAAACTAATGAAGTGACCTCTAAAGAATTAAGAATTCTTTGCTGGCTAAGACTTGGATAGATAATCAACCAACAGAAGCAATGTTGTTAATTCAAACTAAAGCTGCTC